TATCATACTGGAAGTCATTAAAATCCTGAGAGCGACCCCTTCTTCTACTTACTATCTGTGGAGGCAGTCTGCATGTCTAGGTGATGAATTTTATAGACCTCTGGCCAAGAAAAGGATGACAGAATGGGGTATTTAATGACCTAAGAGGGTGGCTGGGCTGTTTCATTGCTTGAGTTCTTTCCTTTATTTAATATTAATTTTAGAACCATCAAACATTGATTTATGAACTCCTCTATAAACATCAACATGTATTGTTTTGTTTTAAAGGTATAGTTGAGAATTTTCATGAATTTTTGAAAAGACATGTTCACACCATTTTTTTTTTTTAAATACACATGCACAACCCTGTACCCGCTCCTGAGAGGGAATGCATATTAAAAGCGTGCTACAGTAGAGCATGCACAAGCCCATTTCTCCTCGTGCATGCTCTGTTTAAAAGTTGCTGTTTGCATCGCTCATACAAGCTTACTTTCCAAAAGAAGATTTGCAATTTTTCCACTATGTCAGACTCACCACGGGTAATTGAAAAAGGGGACGAGCACGTAGGACTGCCTTATGTAAACATATCACCAGAATGATTGACAATTAGAAGCATCCCTTATTTAGATGATCCACCCATTTGTTTTATTTGTTTTTTTATTTTTTATTTTGTGGGGTCTGAACGCATGGCCTTTTAATGGCAATATGTGTCATTTTTGTTCAAACACGAGAGAAAATTACGGCCATTTGAAGAATAAAATAACAGACAATTTTCTTCTCCAACCTTCATCTCTAAATTGTAAACTCATTAAACCTAAAAAGATGTGCCGTTCTCGTTTGTTTCTTTCTTTCTTTCTTTCAGGTCTTTTATATGAACTTTCTATATGCTGCTTAGCTATTACACACATCATGACAGTGGTGTCGGCTGAAGTAGTTTGCCCAGAAATAGGGGGGTTGTCGGCTCCGGCTTTAAGTGTAGTTGTGCGCTTTGGCACTTCACACGTATTGCCAACTGATGGTGGTCGGAGGGACTAGTGGTGACAGTGTACAGCAGCCTTGCTTCTGTCAGTGAGCCCCATGGCATTGTGGCTATAATGTAGCTTGCCACCATCAGTTTGTGTGAATGGGTGAAAGACTGAATGTAGCGTAAAGCACTTTGGTCAAGTCTCCTGAATTGAAAAAATGTTATACAAGTACAGACCATTTACCATTTTTTTATCATCACATTAATTTGCAGCAGAAATTATTTTCAATATTTTCAAATTTTTGTATTTATACATTTAAATAAAGATAAAATACAGGACTCATGAAAAGCAACACCTAATGTGAGAAGAGAATCTGTAACTTTGTTTAGAGTCGCCCGATTCCATAAAAGAATGAAAAAAGGTAAGAGGCACAAAGAGGTTGAAAAATGCTATAGAGGCATTTAGATGTTAAATTCACCCATTTAACATTTAGATTGTGTGCAATAAAAAGTAGGATAGCACCCACCGACTGATAAGCAATCACACAAATCTGAGTTTAATTCAAATATTTGTGCTAAGCAGCAATTGAACTCAAGTTTAGAAATTACTTTTTGTAATTATTGTTGAAAAATATGTTATGCTCTCATCTTTTATTTAAGCAAAAGGAATAAAAAAAAACATTGCAGCCAATTTTCCTCTTGTCGCTTAACTGTGATCTAATTGCTTAGGAAATTTAAGTGAGACTATAGTTAGGATTTGTTCATAGTTACATTTAACTTTTTGAACAATATTTGCAAAACCTACAAACAAAACAGTTTGCATCAGACAAACCACCTTAAGATTTGGACTGAACTGTTCAGATCAACTGTGTCTTTGTCAAGCAGAAGTATACTTCATTTCATGACAGTTAACTGCAAGGATTTTATTAAACCTGGAATTTTTTATTCTAATAGTAGCAGTAGTGATATGTTGCATGTGGGTGTTAAAGAGAACAAGGCATATAGAACTTAGACAAAAATGCCCTGAATTACATTAGAAAGAACTGAAAGCAGGGGTGATTTTATTTAATTATTTGTTAAAGAGTATGTTTGACAAATACTTTCAGGCTCTCCTCTAAACTCATTATTTCAAGGAATGAGACAGGAAAAGGTCAAGGCCATAGAAAGGACAGAACAGACAAGGCATGAGGGACACGGACAAGAGGCAACAAGGACGAAAAATTTAGATTTTTCTTTTACCATTTTCCATTTATCTCATGATTATTTAGCCCTATTATTTGTTTCAAACATAATAACTAAAATACATGGTGTACACATCCCCATTCAACAGCTCTTCTATCCATCCAAGGGTACCACTCTCACTACACGCAAGTGTGTGAGTCACACATGAGCTAAATGTGAATCAGCTATGATTCATCAGCCCTAAACATGCAGTATAACAGGCATTCAGTTTATTATCTTATTTCTATATTAGTCCTGCTCACAGCTTTACCTTTAGCATTATGCTGAGCCATTTGAGGCCCTGATAACTGATTCCAGCTATGTGGGGCAGCAAAATTGAACTCATTTGTAAAATACTAAACATCAGGCATTTTAATCATTAGCAAAAAAGACCATTATTAAATTTAACAGAAATATCACAATTTCAAAGCACTATCAGGGAACCAGAATCCATCAGAGTCTATTGACAACAGCAATGAAGACTAATAAAGGTTTTGATTCAAAGGCTTTTCAATGTGAAGCTTTCCAAAATATAAAACAATCTATTTAAAATATCTCACTCTATGGGTCAAGCATGGCATGGATAAATAATGGCTGACACTAGAAGGAGTCGACATAATCAACACTTGCAAAACTAGTCAATCAACATTAATGATTTTAGTTAAAATATATTTTTTGTATAAATTCAGTGGGGTTTTTTATGTCAGCTTTTCAATAAAGATAAAAGTCTGTAACTTAAAACAAAAAACGTTGCCCAACTGCTCCTCTTTTTAAATTATGTTCTCTTCTGGGGAAAGGTTAAAACGCTGTTTTTCCTTTATAATACTTAAAACTAACACGGCATGAAAAAAACAACAAAAAGAAAAATGACAGTCAAACACGGTGGTGGTACTGTGAAGGTTTGGGGATGTTTTACTGCTGTAAACTATTTGTTGTTATTGGTAAAATTATTAATTTACTCTCTCTATGAAAATCAATCTCACAACCTTAAGAACTGCTGCACCTGGGTCATGCAGCAGAAAAATGATCTGAGGCAGAAAAGCAAGGCCTCCCTTCAGTGGCTGAAAAAAAATGCTATCTAACATGTAGGTATGGACATAAAAAAAAAAAAGCAAAAATAAGTAAAATCTTTACAAAACTATGGGCCTGATCTACCAAGATCTAAAGGTGATCTACAAAGATTGCCTGTTAAATAAATGCAGATTGTGTGTGCTATTGAGAGTTTGGGAGTGGATTTATTTTGCACTTTGCAAAGGAAACTGTAAATTGTATCAACACTGGGCACAGATGGCCGGCATGATCACTATGTGGAGAAGATGCATACAGAAGAGAAGAGGAAGCACCCTCAATCTCTCTCTGTTCATGTGAAATGAAAACAATTGCGTTTATTGCAGTATTCAAAATAAATAATTAAAACAGCAGCAATGTACAGATAAGCTTTTTCTTTCAAAATATAACATAATGGATCGGATCACTGATTAAATGAGAATTCCACTCCTCTGTAAAAAGTATGTATGGACCGACTATTCATAGTATGCATGGAAGGGTGAAAGGCAACGCAACACCCCAATGACCCCCCCACCTTTAAAATGAATCCGGCACCACTTGACGACACACCCAGAAACTACCCAGGACGATGTCACACTGCAGGTCTTGATGCTCAATTCCGATTTTTTTTTTTGTGAAATCCGATTTTATTGCGTTGCGGTTCACTTTTCCAAATATATGCGACTTGTATGTGATCTCCTGTGTGAACTGCGTTCATTCAGCTTAAGTGTCCCTTAGTAAACATGGATAAACATGGATGGTAGCACTGAAGCGCATCTAGCGATCTTTCCAAACTTTTAAACCTCAATCTTTTCAAGATGGTTAAAAATAAATAAATATTGCTCTCCGCATCATCGTCCGCTATGGTGTTTGTTTTTCTTGCCGCTTTTGCGAAGCAAGAAGAAGAACAGTGACCTTTGTCGGGTATTAATGGCGTTCAGGTCAGATGAATGCGACCTGGCTGTTCAGACACAGGTCGCATTTTAAAAGGTCAGATTCGTATCGGATTCAGGACCACACAGCCAAGTGGCCTGGGTCGCACTGGAAAAAATTGGATCTGTGTTGTTCAGACAACCATGAAAAGATTAGATCCAGGTCGCATGTGGGCAAAAAAAAAATCGGATTTGGGTCACTTCAGCCTGTGGTGTGATCGTAGCCTAGCAGCAGTGAGAATGGATCCATCTAGATGCAAGTACATGTTGCGTTTATCAGAAAAATAGCGTTACGCAAAAGACAATGTCTGCTGTTTTAATTTGTGATCGTCATAATGTGGACAAATCCAAAGAATATTTATTCTTTTGTTGTATTTAGGCCTTTTTTTCACCAAAATGACGTCAGACATTTCACAATGGGTGTGGTATAATTTTGAACTTAGAATGATGTACCTTTTTTTTTTTTTTTTTTTTTTTTTTTTTGGAGGAAAACACTCCACTCCACCAAAAAACAAAAACACACAAAGAATGTAAGTCTCCTATGGCCCTCATATAACCTTGAGCCGCCTCTGCTTATGCTGAAGCAAAATAAAATGAAGGAATTCCTCTTCTCTCATTCCACCCATCCCTCATGCAATATCACCCCCTTCATGCCAGAGAGGGAGTAAACAGCCCAGGGAAAGCAAAATTAACCACAATGTTTTGTTCACAATGGGAATAGGCTTTATATTGTGCTTTTTAAAATAAATTAGCCCCCAAATCATTAAATTGACACCTAAGAATCTAAACCAATCTGACTCCAGCATGTTGCACAAGGGCTTATGTGTCAATGATTGCTCACAGTTTCCTGTCTTTACCTTATTTTTAATGTTGCAGTGGCAGCAGACAGTCCAAAGATACTTGAGGGTTCTCCATAGCAGGATGATGAAGAGACCCCCGAAAAACGTCACCATGGAGGAAGCGAGGAAAGCCCACCACATGCGCTGTCCATAATCGTCGCATGGCACCTCAGAGGTGTAAGGGATGACAAGGCCTTCCATCTTGGATATTAAGATCGAAGAGTCCGGTTTGTTGTTGTTATCGATGCTGCTTGTCCTCATAGAGCTGTCGCTTCCATGGGGATCCGTGCCATGTGCCTCGGCTAGCATTGAGGAGCCTTGGAGAGCCTGTGCCAGCGTCCCCAGCCCCACTCACCAGCCATATTGCTTAAAAAAAATAAAGGAATTTTTTTTTTATTTGTGTTAGATTCTGATTAGTCCCCCTGATTGAGTTCAGATTTTTTTAAGGGTATGAAATGTTTATTTTTTAATGACGGGTTGAGCCGCCGTGCACGCAGAGCAGACCAAAATAGCGCGTCGGTGGCCCCTTGGAGAGAGGCATTTAAATCCGCAATAATAACGACGAATCTGAGGCGCTTCTCATTCTGAGGGGCTTTTCTGCCTCTTTCACGCCATAAGCCCTGACAGGGACGGCGTCGTCTGCAGCCGCCGAGGCTGCTGCCGTTTTGTTTGTTTTTTCTTCCTGTTGCAGACTTTCAAAAATTAAAATAGAAATTGGAAAAAACAATAAAATCGTTCCCCTTCGTGTTCCTGCTTTTAGCCGTCTTCCATTCAGGGATCCTTTCCATCAATGGATGAAGAATCGTTTTTTTTCTCTCTCTCTTCCTCAATCGTGCCAAATGCGCTCCTAATGAGAAGAAACGCGCGTCAGAAGGCTACATATCCAAACAGGCGCTTCTGGTCGTCGCGTTAAGGAGAGGATTTGCGCGCAGCTTGGGTGGATGTCGCTGCGTCCATTCGGTCCTCCTGCAGCCTTGGCACGGAGCGGCCAGCTGGAAGCGCCTGTCAGATCTGCTCCAGGAGAGAGGAGAGCTGGAGCTGGAGGTGGTGGGGGGGGGGATTTACAGGTAGGAGGGAGGAGCCGAGCGCTAATAATAAAGATGGACAGAGAGGCGTTTTTAAATTCCAGAGGCAGATCTGGAACCCTGCCGCTCTGACTGCGAAACTGCGCCTCTGCGTCTTTATTCAATGCCTGTGACGCACGTCGCAAAGAAGATCAGTCAGAAATTGAAGGGTTATATCTAGCTTTATAAACACACACACACACAAATGGGGGTATTCCACCAGACTGTCATCAACGATAGTGCAGGATTCTCATTTTTTTAGATTAATAATATAGAGGCATTCTATTGAGCAGGTTTTTATTATTAGGTTTTAATTGATTGCCCATCATACAGGGGCGGAGCTAGATGGGGGGCACCCCTTAGCCAATCATTTAAACATGGCCACCCTTAGCCAATCAAAATTTTAACTAAACTTACATGCTTTTTTATGTATTCATTATCTCACATCACTGATTTTTTTAAAGAAGGGTTTTTATACATTTGTTTTGTGAATGTAATGTAACATTCTTCCTTATGTATTCATTTATTAACTTATACTGGAATTTTTATGGCAGTTTTTTTTTATTAGTGAATGCAGTGTGACACAAAGTTTGGACTATGTAGTAGCCAGAGTCTGTACCCATATAAAATTTCCTTTGGGACAATAAAATTAATCTTATCTTATCAATTTCCACCCCTACCATTTTGTTCCCTCTCATACAGATGGTGGCAACGGTAATACTCTAATTGGAATATTCGAAACATTTTATTTTTTGTGGTTAATTATACACATCAATATACATCAAAGATGATAAATACAGAATTCATGCTCTTTTTAGAACTAGATTTTGTGTTATATCGGGTAAAGAGAAAAATATGTATCTGAAAGTCATCTAGAAGTCTTAAGTGAAATCAAAAATAAATAACAATTTAACTAAAAAATGATCAAATAATCAATTTATGTAGATATTAGTGCTTCTAAATATCAATTTTATGCAGAATGTTAATTGATACAAGTAGGTAAATAATGACAATGATGATTTATTTATTCCTCATAACTCAAAACTGAGTTTTATCCACTATACCTTTTATCTAGAAATTACGGATGTTTAAATATATGTGTCTATTTGTTAGCAAAGGCTGTGGGAAAGTATAGTTAGTCTTTATTTGGAAAATATGGATGTTTTAAATGTTAATTTTCCTGTTGGACCAGTGTAGATTGACCGTGAGGTTCTGGTGCCTATCCACTTTTGCCTCTACCATCATCATCAAGTATAACGCTCCCAGCGTTTCCCTTCATACAGTTAGGTCAAAAACAGGTGTAGATTGGTGATGACCGTGAGGCATGGCTGCTCACTGGAAACCCTCAAAAAGCCACAGCAAGGGATATGGGGAAACAGCTGGCTTGGGTCCCTGAATAACCACTGAGCCTAAAATGTTGACAAGGCTGGTGCTCATGCACCTGTGGCACTAACGCACTCAGACTTCCCTAAAACCTTTTTTTTTTTTGCAGCAAAAGGGAAATTAGTCTGTGCTTTAATTATATAGATAAGATGGTGTAGATTTTTTTATTACAGTTATTCAGAACACAAAGTTAAAACAATATATTTAGACACAATATACAATAAGTAAACTTTTTATGTGTTTCCTTTATTATTTCTAACGTTTGTTATTTAAAGTCAATTTAAATAAAGAAATTCAGTTTCTCAAAATATGTAGGCTAAATATTGCGTAACACAGTGTTTGTTTTGATTAACAAAATCATGGCAAATAATGCTGTAAATTTATCCAAGCAACATTTTAGTGGTGACCCACGTGAATTTTCCTAAGTTTGAATGGGACACTAGTGGGCCTGGATTGATTCTTGTTTAAAAACCATAATAGGTGGACTAAATCCAAAGACAAATGAGTTAGGCACAATCAGTAGGTCTAATCTTGGTCTGAAATGGTTACTAAGAAAATTATTTCACACTGTGCAGCACATCGAGAAACCACATGGCTCTTTGAAAGTTGTCCTGTATCAAGCCTCTACAGGGGGATCAATGTGAGGCCAGTACTGTATATAGGCCGTATAATGGTCTGTTCTGTGGCCAAATTTTCAATTTGATTCATTCGCATACAGAACTCAAATGTAAATAAAAAGTCTTCATGAAGAGCTTCAAGCAGTAAAACCTACTGCATCCAAGCATATTAATGTGAAGCTGAGTAGAAGAAAACAAATTGCAAAAACAAGGGGGGGCTGGAACAACTGTGGTCTGATAGGATTGTCAAGCAAACCCTATTTATGTCGGGATATATAGATAGACATGCACTCTAAATATTGTCTCCTACTGTAAAGTAAATTTAACCTTCTTTTATTGCTCATATCCCAATTAAAGGATAACAGAATTGCAGTTCATCAATTGCATAAAGCCACAATCTTTAAAATTAAAGGAAATAATGCCTAGAACGTATAATTGTATATGTAATAAATCTATATGTGAATTAAACATTTTTAAATGCATTACATTAAATGCATTACTCAACCTGAAGGCTTGTCCCCTTCAGGTTGGAGGAGAGTCCCTGCCTCAAGTGGAGGAGTTCAAGTATCTTGGGGTCCTGTTCACGAGTGATGGAGCGGGAGATAGATAGACGAATTGATAGACGGATCGTGGTGTAGAGAGAGCTGGTGTAGAGAGAACTGAGCGAAAAGGCAAAGCTCTCAATTTACCGGTCAGTCTACGTTCCTATCCTCACCTATGGTCATGAAATCTGGATCATGACCGAAAGAACGAGATCCTGGATACAAGCTGCTGAAATGAGCTTTCTCCGCAGGGTGGCTGGGCTCTCCCTTAGAGATTGGGTGAGGAGCTCGGTCAATTGGGAGAGGCTCAGTGTAGAGCCGGTTCTCCTCCACATCGAGAGGGGTCAGTTGAGGTGGCTCGGACATCTTCTTCGGATGCCCCCTGGACGCCTCCCTCGGGAGGTGTTCCAGGCACGTCCCACCGGGAGGAGGCCCAGGGGACGACCCAGGACACGCTGGAGAGACTGTCTCTCAGCTGGCCTGGGAGCGCCTAGCCCAACAGAGCTGGAGGAGGTGTCTGCCGAGAGGGAAGTCTGGGAGTCTCTGCTTAGTCTGCTGCCCCCGCGACCCGGTTCCGGATAAAGCGGGAGACGACGAGTACGAGTACGAGTATTAGTATTGGGGGTCTTCTGTTGGCCTTCGGAGCTTGACTTCTCATTCAGTTTATTTCAGTTCAGTTAAAGCTGCAGTCTGTAACATTGAGAAGAGAGCAGACTTCGACTGAAAATTTGAAGAAAAACAGGTTTCATGCCACTCCCCCACCCTCTCTGCTTCACTCATGCCCCACCTCCAAGCCCCACCCCACTCACAGCATCTGCGCGGCTACCGCATGCGACCACAAGCGTCCAAGCAGTGTACGCGGCATGGAGTGTGAACCGGTAAGAGCGATAACACTCACCTCCAAGCAGCTAGATATAAGATGCTGGTTATACCGAAGTTTGCCGTGTAAGCAGTTGTCGGCAGGGGCAGTAAGGGCAGTTTCTCTTTCTCTGGTGGCTGTCGCTCCGCCATGACTTCCACGCGCGTCCTCCTGACTGCGGCAGCCGGGCGCTGCGGCAGGTTAAGCGGTGGGGGGGGGGGGGGGGGGTAGCTGTGATTGACACTCCATCAGACGCTCCTCTGGCTGTGATTGGTTGTTTTGACTCGTCCCGAATTATTCTTTCCAGATTGAAATACAGGCAGTATGCGGGACCAATTGAAGCAGTTTTTTTCACAGGTTACATATCACATGTACTGCTGTCTGGACATAGGAACAGTTTTAGCCAATATGACAAAAAAGTGATTTCTAAAAACTTACAGACTTCAGCTTTAAAAAAGCTTTATTAATCTAAAAGGGAAATTAAATGTTATCAGCAAGTTCTACAAAAAATAAAAAATGTGTTAAGTTAATACCAATTCAAACCAGATCTAAAATGTACAATGAGTCGTCCATAGAAATTCAACTGAGTCTTCATTTTATTTCTTAATTTAGTTTTCAGAACTAGATTAGTTTAGTTTCGATTTTAAAAAGGACAATTGATTCTAAATTAGATCAACAGGATGGAGGAATGGTCAAGTTCACTTTTTAGTATCTCAATCTCCTAGAAAAGAAAAAGCCCATTGTTTTAATAGAAAACCTTAAAACAGCAATCCATGCCTATATTACATCCCAGCATGACTGCTGAAATGTTCTTTACATTAGAGTGAGCCACTTATCTTAGAAACCTGTTGAGCTGCTTTGAAATGGAACTACTAGGCTTTTAAACAGAGCTGGCAACAAGGAAAACACCACAACTCTTCTGTTATATGTATAACTGTTAGCCCACTAGGGGGGCTAGACATACAACTCTTGACTTAAACCCACCAAAAGCAACAGGTAATAGGGACTGTGCTCAATAAACAGGTCTCTTTGGGTGTTTTAGAATCTGATCGCAGAACACTTTGGACCAACAGATTCAGAAGTCATGGAGTAACTTATATAGACAAGGCCATATTTACCGTCTCGATTAAACCCCACATCAGAAAGCCAAAAATATGTCTCATATGAGGCGATTTTCAGATATACAACAGATTCTCATTGCTGCAATGAGGGAAAAAATACTCACCAAGACAGTAATGTCCTGAATAAAGTCAAAATGTTGAGAATGGGCCAGTCCAATCTTAAACAGAATTTAAGATAAAAGAATAAAAAAAATATGAAGTTACTTGGTCTGCATGGGAAATTGCAGGTTAATAATTATGTCTAAAATTCTTCCTTAGCATGTCATGGTCAGCTCTATCTAATAAAACAAGGAGATCTAACACTCTGCTTCACGCATAAATGTTCTGAAAAGTAAACATGTCAAAGTATGACATGTGTCCTATCATAGCGATTTATTATCCAGTAAATATAAATGCTCCACCAAAAATAGCCTGTGGTAAGAGTGAGCTGTCGTTTAACTTCAAGCAGGGCTGAGCTGTAAAACGTGGAAGACAAGCCAATCTTTGAATTATAGCTCTTCACAGTTATGACTCCATGTGCAAGTGGTTGAGTTCACATAAAACAGGCCACAGATCAGTCCCGACGCGGCTATCTGCTATTTGGATGCATGCC